TTTTCTTTTTGAATTTCGTCTGTTATGTGTAATATGAGTTGCTTTTTTGTAAAAATAACTTTAAATGTTTTAGGTAAATATCTTTTTGATGTTATCATAATTTTTGGTATTTTCTTGCTCACTGGTAGCGTTATATGTAAGGGAACCTAATACCATTTGCATTTTAATCTAGGACTCCAACTACTAGAATGACCACCCCACCCCCCTAGTCGATTAAAAATCCCATTTTGACGACATATATCATATTCCGTTGACTTTCAGCTCTTAATTTCTCATCTAGTGTCAAAACCTTGCTTCATTTATTTTTTTTACAGGTTAATTGCACTGGAAGTCTCAAAGTATGAGGTTTGTTTCATTTTGATCTTCAATATTTCAATTGCATCATTTTAGTTCCTGAAATATTGAATATATTTTTATGTCGTCCTTCAAACAGATAACGATTTTTTATTATAAACTTCTCACGAAATGCCTTGACAAAAAAATAATTTGGATAACTCTTGATCAAATTTCTATCTAAATTTGGATAGAAGAGCTATCCAGCTATTTATATTACATATTTTTTTGTTAAGAGTTATCTAAATTATTTTTTATTCATATTTAAATATCACGTGACAAGTTAAATATTATAAACAGCAAGTAATTTGGATGTTGTCTATATAAAGGACCACATAGAAGTATATTCAATACTTAAAGATCAAAATAATGTAATTAAAATATTAGAGACCAAAATGAAACAAATTTTATATTTTGGAGGTCTATAGTACAATTAACCCTTTTTTTTTTACCGTTCATGTTATGAACTTTTTAAAAATTTTCCAATTAAGATTTTTCAAATAGTGTCGTCAACAATATTTTGTATCAATGGTGATGTTGATTCCCCTCTTGCGGCAATAAGGGATTCTTCAAATCTGCTGGCACATGAGGCTACATTTGCATTGGGTCAAATGCAAGATCTGGATGCTATCCCCACTCTAGAATTTGTTCTTAATGACCTTTCTCTGCATCCCATTGTTCGCCATGAGGTCTCATGTTCTTAGCTTCTTATTGTCTTAAAAATATATTGTTATTTTGCTTTCTTTGATAATTCTTTCTGATTTTTGTCTCCTCTCGAATGTGCAGGCCGCAGAAGCCCTTGGTGCAATTGGTGTGGAGAGTAATGTTCCCCTTTTAAAGAGCAGTTTGGTTTTAGATCCAGCTCAGGAGGTCCGAGAAACATGTGAATTGGCTCTTAGTCGAATTGAAGAACTGAAGAATGATGGAAGAAGTGATGATTCATCACCCTTTTTGTCGGTTGATCCACAGCTGCAGCTGCTTCTTGTTAATCTGTTTATGAGCTCAGGTTTGTTCTCTGGGTATAATTTTAGGTCAACTTTACAAGCTTTACAAAATTGGTTTTATTACTCAGTGACTGATTTTCACCTGTTTTTAGGGAAGTACTCTTGGACGACGCAAAGAGCATGTATGGGCGGTATGCAGCTCTTTTTGCACTTCGAAACAATGGGGGAGATGAAGCTGTCTCTGCTATTGTCAAATCTTTAGGTGCAAAAAGTGCTCTTCTGAGACATGAGGTCAGTTGTAATCATTTCAATTGTCTGCTGATTTATATATTATGTAGATCAGCTCAATAAGAGTGGATACTGGGCAAGACTTACTCGATTTCAGGTTGCCAATTTGTATATGTATCTCTAGCATCTCAATTTCTACGATAAATTGTAAACTACTATTGGGGGCAATCTCTCAGTGACATACATCACTAGCATCCATTGGTCCTGTGGCCTAAAAATTTTGTTGGCATAACTGACATAGTGTATTAGACATATTAAATGGTAGGGAAAGCATGTATGACTTAAGTCTTTTGGCCCCAGATTCGATAATGGCCAGGAGGGTTATGAATTTTACCTGCAGAGGCTACCATTGTTGTTGCATCTCTATTTGTAGATACGTTTTGTTCTAGGGTTTAGTTTTTTAAATAGTCCTATTTATCATTCATAAAGTTTAAGCATTGTATAATGGATTGATAACCAAATTCACTTCATCTGTATGATGCTGTGGTGGCAGATGTTTACATTCTCATTGCTTCCGTATTATTTAAAGGAAATGGCAAAAAGTTTTTGGCCTCACTAATAACGTATAGATGTGATTTAAATTTTTTATGCATACAACTAATATTCATAATGAATCACCTATTAGGCATGGCACATGAAACCCTAAATTACGTCCACGGATGCAAATTTAGTGTTTTATGGTAGTCATGTTGAAAAGCTTTGCATTATCTAACTGTGCCATACTTTTTTTCCATGAATTCTTCCATAATCAAAAACATCAAAATCAGCTGGTGTGTATTGTGATGGGAAGTGAAACCTGTTTGGAGAAATAAGAACTTCACACAGTTAGATAATCGAGCACAGGTGTATGAATTCTTCCCATGTGATGATAGCCAATAATCATTTCAGATAATTGCTAAATGCACAAAATGACCTCTTTACCCATCCATATATATGGTGTTTGTACAATCAGGGTCACAATTGCTGCCTATATGACATTTTAATGCGTTGGTTATTGAAATGTGTTTCTTCAAGGGCTATCGATTCCTAATCTGATATGCCTTTGATGGCTCTGTTTTTTCCAACCACATCTAAATGTGATTTTGTTGGACTGACTTTGCAGGTTGCTTACGTCTTGCGCCAATTGCAAAACAAAACTGCTTCAAATGCACTTTCTGGGATACTCAGGGATGTGAATGAGCATCCAATGGTCAGACATGAAGCAGCTGAAGCTCTTGGTTCAATTGCAGGTTTGACAATTCTTATGTACTTGATGCATTTTTTGATCTTTTTTAGTATGGCTGACTGAAAATAATAGTGGTTCACCATGAGGTTAGTGTCTATGCAATCCCATGTATTCTTAATCAACTAAAATGTTGCGAGGAAAGAAAGAATCATAAAATGTGGTTAAATAAGACATAATTCTAGTAGTAAATATATGATGACTGTATTAGAAAAGTTCTTCGCTGGCTGGGGATAATGTTATTGAGCTAAAGTAACATGATGTTTACTGCAGATAAGTTGTCCTTGAATTAGATGATTTTATCAGAATGAAATCCATAACCTCCAAAATGGAAACTATTCCCTTGCATTTTTGTGGGATTATCTAGTTGGCCCTGAAGCTTGTACAGGCAATGTTTTCATTGTCATCTGAACTAATAAGCCTTCCATCATCACCCTTAAACCTATTTTTGCATTCATATATTTATTGTTCTGGATTATGTATGTATCTTTTAAACTCCAACCGTCGTAATTCTTGTTTTTTTTTTCCTAATAAGCTTTGTCATGTTACTTTTGTAGATGATCAATGCATAGCACTTCTCGAGGAATTTGCAAAGGATCCTGAGCGGCTTGTCTCTCAGAGCTGTGAAGTTGCTCTCAACATGCTAGAATTTGAGAGATCTGGCAAATCATTTGAGGTCATTTAAGAGAACCAAAAGCATATTTTATGGATGGATGGCTTAACAACTGCATTCTCTGCAGTACCTCTTCATGCGGACACCTCAAGGGCAGCAAGCCTAATGCTAGATCTTCGTCTGCATTTATCTGGTTCTTCCGTGTGCCAAGTCTCTGAAGCACCAACATGTTCTACAAAAGTACGGGCGGGATGCCTCTTATATGTTTTGCAGTAAGTCTAGTGACTCCAAACATAAACATAAACAGGAAAAGGTTGAGCTTCATAATCCTTTTATTATTAGTCTGAACAATTTTCGAGTGGCATTTTTGTGTTGTACCTTACAGGACTGGTCCGTTGTAGAACCTGAAGATAAAAGGTTCTAGTGCAGTGGACGTGGTCAAGGTCCTTTTATTTTGCGTTCATGAACAGAGTATGTATATAATTCATTGGCAGCTGTACATCTAGTCATTAGATCCTTGGGTTATTTTGAAAACTAATCTGATGGATTTTTTCGCAGACAGGGGATGATGGTGTTGATTTTAAGCTTTAATTGTATAAGATCGTTAAATTGATTGCATCTGTGCCATGTTCGTCGGATCATTGATGCAGTTGGTTGAGCCTCTTTTTGGATAATTGTAAACCGTCAGCCATATATCCTTTAAACTCGTAACTAATTATAAAGACGGGATGAACGTGGTCTTTCAAGATTCGACCTGAAAATCTCAAGTTAGGGGAATAAATGGAGCATTTAATACCAGGGGGTGTCACAAGTTGCTTAACCGAGCAATAACGTTACCCTTAAAGCTGACTGAACACTGATTTCATGACCATTTGATGACTCAATTTCCAAGAATCAAACTTGTAAAAACAAAGCAAAGGAGTCTTCTTTTTTCTTCACCAAGCTCCAAAGTCAATCAGTCATAAAGTGACTTTCCAGCATAATATCCCATTAACTTATTTTCTATTCCAGTTATTAGAATGAATACCCTTAAATTTTATGAACAAAACCTACATACTTTATTAAGGGCATATGACGTGTCAAATCAATCTTTTAATTAAAGGGTTTTCATGTTATTTCAATTCTAATCCACTGTGTTAGTGCTTCATCACCTAATAAAATTAGAGGTGCTCAAAACAAATGCTGTTAATTTTAAATAATTATTAAACATAACTGACACGTGTCAGTTAAAAACAATTTCCAGAAAGCAGCAAAGAGCTGTAGTTCCCAGGTGGGGCGTTCGGCGGAAAACAATACTTTATAAGAACATTGAACTCAAAGTCTTTGAACCACAGTATGAAAGACTTAAAAAAACTCATATAAACTGGTCTAAAGCCACATTAAAGAACCATACCCATTCTACATAAGCCATTAATAAATGTTCCCTTAGAACCCACACACAGACCTTCCATGTCCCCCCATTCTCACCCTTTATAAGGTCCTACCCTTTGTGTCCCTCAACACCCACTGGCCCTCCAACCAACAAGATTCAAGACAAGTCCTTCATTTGCACCATTTCCTAGTGTGCTCGTGGGCCTAAATCTCTCTCTCTCTCCTCAATATGGCAAGTGGGACTGGTTCTCCTTGTGGTGCATGCAAGTTTCTCCGGCGAAAGTGTGCAACGGATTGTATATTTGCGCCATATTTTTGCTCGGAACAAGGGCCGGCTATATTCGCTGCGATTCATAAGGTGTTTGGAGCTAGTAACGTTTCCAAGTTATTACTTCATGTCCCCGTGGCTGATCGCTGTGAGGCGGTTGTGACTATTGCTTATGAAGCTCAAGCAAGGATCAGAGATCCAGTTTATGGCTGCGTCGCTCATATCTTCGCCTTGCAACAGCAGGTCGTTAAATTTCATAGAATTAAAAACATTTCCTTCTGTGTTCAAAAACACAAAAAAACCCATTTTCTTCTTCTTCCTCTCTCCCTGGTTTGGGATATCTGTACATTTCACTTTCTTAGGATGAATAATTTGTATGACTAATAATCAAGCCAAGTTTTGTGAGATCGAATTGAGATTACTGAAACGAAATTAAAATATTGTTTAAACTCAACTTATTTAAAACATGAACTGAGTTTGAGTTGAATTTTATATAAATTAAACCGGAGTACTTTATGAACTCTAATAATTTGAACATTAATTAGCCTGGACTCTGGAGGGCCATAACTGCTCGTAAGTTGTAACCTATTCTTATCTATATATGACAAAGCCACACATACTCATTATCGAATAAATCGCCTCCACCACAAATTGGTACCGTTTGATTATTTTTAATTTTTTTGTTTGCTTCCTTCAATTAATCGCATGTATAGTAACACATCTATGCACTAATATAAGAAGTTTATAATATATAATAAGATGCATGTACTGGTAATGGTGTTTTGCCTATATATGCTATAGATACAAATGAAGTGCTAATGAGACTCTTTGTTTTATATTCTAAAGGTGGCATACTTGCAAGCCCAGCTGATGCAACTGAAGGCTCAACTGGCACAAAATCTTATTGATTCATCAAGGAATAATCCAGAGAATCAATGGCCCGCAGGAAATATAATGGCCGGAATGGCATCGTTTCCGGCTTACCTGAACTCTATATCACCCCAGAGCTCAGTCGAGTCCATTGAACACAACAATGAAGGGATGGGTGTGCAAGAGATTCAAATCAGAGATGAGCTCTCTTTCCAACCTTACTCTAAGAGGAGACCTTCACATACTGACTTGGGTGAGCTTCAAGCACTGGCTCTTCGAATGATGAGGAACTAATTAAACTCACCATGTTTCTTACAAGATTATGTTGTTTGATGATGATCCAAAAGCCTTAAATCACGTAAATACAGAGACGAGAAAACATCGTAGTTCTATAAGCCCAGACGTCTGCATTTTTGCCTTCTATCAACAAATTAATTGCAACAATATTTAGACTGTGTTCTCTCTCTCTCTCTCTCTCTCTCTCTTGTGTGATACTATTTTACATTATCAGGTTTCTATTAGTGTAGTTACACTAAAGAATAATGTTGAATGAACTTAAAAATTATATTTGATAATCTCGACTATTGAATAGGTACTGAATCTCAATAAATACTGGGACTTACAGTGAAATCAATAATTAAAATTATTAAATATAATTTTTAAATCTATTTTTTAAGTATACGTAACATTACTCATGAAAAGATTACTCTATTTGACATTTTGAAAGGTGCATTGGAATTGGGTTCATCTTGATTGTCATTAAAATTTCGTCTATTTCATAGAATATGTAGCATTCGCATATTAAAATATTGTTACAAGATATGCATTATTGAGGTTTGAACCCTCTGATGGCGCTTCCTTAAGAGAAAGTGGATATAATTAAAAAAACAAGCATGCTTAATGGGGTTCTAGAAGACATTCCAAGATGAAGCCTTTTTAACAGTTTCTCGAGTAATGCCTTTTGAATTAATTCGTTGGTATAATGTTCTGACCTAAATATTTACTATTATCGGATTGATTGTAAATTTTAATATTAGTTGGAAATAACCGTCAATTTAAGAATAATTATAGATTAGTTCCGATAATTAGATCACCAAATTAAATTCATATAGTACTTATTGTCGTTTACCAAGATGATTAATGACAAATGTGTAATTAGGGATGTCAATGGACCGAAGCGGGGGCGGGGAGTATAGTCTTCATCCCCGTAACTGCTTAAAAAACATTTATCCATCCCCGGTTCAGCCCCGCTAACGGGTATAATTTTCATTCTCATCCTTGTCCGCGTGTAAATTTATAATTTTCGTCCCCGTCCCCGCTTCTCCCGTACCCGCCCAAGTCCAAGCCCAAGCCCAAGCCTAAACTTAAGTCCGAGTTCAAGCCAACATAATCTAAAATTCTAAATAAATTCAACATTTTAAATAATCTAACAATATTTTAAATAATGTAACATAATCTAAAACAACATAATGTAGCATAACATATTCGAACATAACACAAACAACAAATGTCCAAAATACTACTTAAATTTGATATAATTCAACATTACACAATTAACATAACGAGTGGTAGAATCATCTCAATCAACTCAATCATCTTTTAACACTAGCTTCACACCAACTCAATCATCAATTGACACCATCGGTGGTGGTAGAATCTACTTCTTCAACATCATTTTCCTATATCATTAAAAGAAAAAAAAAATTAGATTCTTCCAAAAAAAAAATTTTCAACTAAAACGATATACCTCATCATTAATATCAACATCCTTCAATAATGTGTAGCTCTTCAAGCTCGTCGAAGTAGATGAACCTAACCAAAAAAAAAAATAATAATGCATTAGTCATACTTTACCCACAAAAAAAAACAGAAAATTATGATGCACATACAAATAATATGTCATTTACCTTGTTCGTTAGCATATAGCCAACTTTGAGAGCATATTAAAGCCTCTACTGTAGTCGAAAGAAGTCTATTGCGATGTGGTCTGATCACCCTCCCACTTGTGCTAAAAGCAGATTCTGAGACCACGGTAGAAACAGGAATATCAAAAAGATCTTTACATTTGAAGCAAAGGATACTTGGGACCACTTGTCTTCCAAAAAGATAGAATATCAAAATCTGAACTTCTTGGCATCATACCATCTTCTACGTAACAATCCAACTCAGATCTCCCACGTGCTTTTGTTATGTCTCTTGTTTGTATAAATTTATCAAAATCTGAGAGATTATCAATTATTGGACATTTGGAATCAATATCTGATTGAAGAGGGAGAGGAGAATGATGTGGTACATAATCACTTCCTTGCAGCGCTTCATATTCGCCTACCAATTCCAAGCAAAGCTCTTTAATCCTCTTCACTTCATTTAAAGCTTCCACACCTGCATACATTTTCTCATAATTATACTCCAAAATTCTCAACTTATACCGTGGATCTAAAACAGTGGCTACTCCCATAACACCATGAATCACACTCCAATATTTGTTAAACTTTTCAAACATATTCAAGGCCATATCTTTTATCACGTCTTTGGGACTTTGAAGTCACTTAGATATTTTTACTCTTATCCCACAAATAGTTAGAAAGTATACATTGGCAGCAGGATAATTTGTACCTGAAAATAATTTTGTTGCAGTATGAAACAATTTCAATTTTTGATAAATCTCTCTTGCCACTTCCCAATCATCTTCAGTCGGACAAATCTTGTAATGAGAATCTCGATATTTCAAGCGAGCAAACACATCTTTATAAATCAAACTAGTTTGAAGCATGAGAAAAGTAGAGTTCCATCGAGTCTTAAAGAGCAAACTTCTTGTTACTTGGAATATGTATCTGATGAGCTGCCTCTTCAAATTTTTGCACTCTCTTGAGAGATGTTGTCCAATAAGCAACACTATCACAAATTATTTCAATACCATCTCCATTCACATTCAAACCATCTTGAACAATTAAATTGAGAATATGTGCATAACAACGCATATGCAACAACTGACTATGCAATATTAGTGAACCAAATGGAAGTTTATCCAACAAAATAGTCACAATTGCATCATTAGTGGTACAATTATCCACAGTCAAAGTGATCAACTTTCTATCAAGGTTCCAATCGAAAAAGCAATCCATCAAACACTCCACAAGCACTTCCTTGGTATGTGGATAAGACACATATAAAAATCTAAAGATAATAAATAACACATGTTAATAGAAGATCATTAGTACCTTATAATAAATAACACATCCTAATGAAAGATTATTAGTACCTTATAATCCGACTTTGCAATGTTCAAGAATTATCAATAAACTGTGTGGTGATTGCCATATATCCTTTTTTTTGATTGTTTGAGAACCACATGTCTGTAGTGATAACAACTCTACTTTTTGTCTTTTCCAACAACTTCATTGTCTTCTCCTTTTCCATTTTGTAAATTTGAAAGATATCATTTCGAAGAGTGTTCTGAGATATCATTTTGAACATTGGTTGAAGAGTGTGACAATGTTTTTGAAACCCGTGATGCTCAACCATAGTAAGAGGATATTCATGAAATATAATCATATTAAGTTAACAATTTTATTTATATATATATATATATATATTTTAACCGGTAACGGGGACGGGGTAAGTCTATCCCCACCTTCATCTCCGTATTGATTTATCCCGTATACGTCCACCGTCCAATACGTACAGTCCATCCCCGGTCCAAAAGGGACGGATTTGAACGAATACCCGTTTTTCCCCGATCTACTGTCATCCCTATGTGCAACCTAGCCGATGAGTTTGGTTGAGAAAACTTTGTGCCTCAGCACTTGATATGCCATTCAGAAATAGCTACTTCTAGGTCTACATATTGCATGTAAATGTGTAAGTTCCCTTTGGTTATGACCTTGTTAACTGAAAGGCATATGGAGGGTTGATCGAATAAGGGGGGAGATTTAAATCTGCATATTTTGAGTTTGTAATACTTGACAACAAAAAACTCATATTTTAGTGGTTGACATGATTAACAAGCAATTGTAAGCATTTTAAGAACTATATTGCAGTCATGAGTTTAAAGAATTAATGGTTAGAATGATAAACATGGTAACCTTGTAATTTTCGTCATTTCATCTGTCAAATTGGTGATTGTGGAAGAAATGTCTGGACATTCCTGACTATTGAATTAAAAAAATAAAAGTATTTGAGGGCCCACTTGATTAGGGTTTATGTTCTACCATGTAAGTTTACCTTACTAAATACTATTCAAAATTTTAAGGCTAGTATCATAACCTTGTACTCAAATTGATAGACAAATTGTCCCCCTGGGCCCTGGTTGACTGCACACGGTTACATCATAAGTAATTTGTAGCTTTAGCAATTTCTACCGACCCAATTATTTAAGCAAATTGTATTGGTTCTCCAAATCCCATATTAATGTTAAGCAATTTCTACTCGAGGGATTTACGTGTAAATCGTGCGGAATTTAATCTCTACTTTATAAAAAGGTGGGAGCAAAGGAGAGCTTCAAGCGATCACTCCAATACACCTCCATTGGTGGGATCGTGAAGTTTCTGATCATGCCCTTTACTTCTTTTGAGAACGAATCTAATTAAGTTAGTATAACAATCAACTATCGAGTCTCAAAATAGACTTCAAAATTCGAACTTTTAACTTCAAGGTGAAAAGTTCAATTAGTATCCCATTGAACCACCCAACTCAGTGGTAATTAAGAGTTAATCAGCTGTTGTGATGGATTAAGTATATTCTTATACATATACTTCGAGCCAAGGACCCTGTAATAGAAAATGATGATTATTAGTGTAGTCAAGCCGCACGTAAATACTTTCAAACGTAATTTCGGCGTTGTTCAATCACAGAAGACAAAAAAAAGTTGTAAGAAAATGAAGTTTTATTATTATTGAAGAAGCCCGTGGGGTTCATTGACCCCACAAGACTACATTAGTTGAACTTAGAAAGTAATATTCGTGTTGGCTCATTATTTAATTAATTAATGGGCGATGAATGTGAGTTCACTAGATGAGGAAAGGGTCTCATCACAAAAAGTTAAATAATCACCAAGAAAAAGGAAGACAAGTTAAACAAGTTAAGAGAGAGAGAGAGAGAGAGAGAGAGAATAAGTCCAAAGACAAAAAATAGTTTGGTCTCTTCCTTGCGTTAGTAGTCTTCTTAAAAGGTGGAAAGCATGTTCAATTTGTTTGAACCAGACAATCTCTCTCTCTCTCTCTCTCTATATATATATATATGTATATATTTCAGCTGTTCATACTGCAAGTCCAATTTTTCACTTGAGCTATAGCCTTGATGATAGTAAAGCTTCATAGACCATCCTCATATCATGACTCATGAGTAAGTAATGTTAGATCACGAAGATACCACTTGCACTATACCCTTTAGTGAAAAAGATGGGCTCAATATACGAAACTCTCGCTGCTACTAGCAGATCAAATATTTACAATTTTAGACACAGAGAGAATTTTTTGCGACTTAAATCTTTGATGAACAAATCAAAATAGAACAATGGTTGCGCCAAGGCTTACTAAAATATACCACATTTAAATAATGAATATTGTGGGGGTATCAGGCATTGGGATTATACTAAAACTCAACACCAATAAAAGATGGGAAGCTAAGTAAGAAAAATGGGTCAACAAAGGGATAAAATAAAACAATTTTCTAAACTTTTAAAGTAACATTTTAACTCTAGGAAATTGAATTTTTCCTCATCAAATGGTGAGAATTCATAAAGCAGTATTAGTCGAGGAGTTTTTATTTGGTACGTAGCTAACTATTAACATCAGAAGGGAATAAAAAAAGTGGCTTTGGCGTAAGCAATAGTGGAAAAAAGAATGAACATATATATATTCATGGCGTCAAGCGTTTGTTTTCAGATGTTTCAATGCCAACAAAATTTGACCGTTGAGTGTGCAGGTGCGTTATGGGGCTGTGATGGATCAAAAGAGGAAGAGGGGTTTTGTCTTTACAAGTAACAACTTATTAATTACCAAGTCTTGCAATGGTGTGTTTTATTACAACATCTCCAACTCTTACTCAATTTGAATCGACATTTGAGTAAAAAGTTTGATTTAAAATAAAACGTTTTAATGGACAAAGTTAACTTTAAAAGCAAGCGAAATTGTAAATGAGAGAAATAACGAGCAAGTTAGGGCATGAAAATAAAAAAAAAAGACAATTAAGTGCACTTTTTTTTTCTTATTTGTTATAAGTTGTTCAGATTTGTATCGATTACTCGTTCAAGTTCTGAATTGGTCATCGTAATTCGAGCTAGTTTAAGCACATGTTCCATGAGGAATAAAAGTAACTAGTCCTTAGGAGGTGTAAAAAATATTAAATCTAAGATTTTTTATTTACAAAATGACAGATTTAACCATGTACTACCCTTAAGGTTCAATTGAGTGCACTTGATCGGAGAGTTGTGGTTGATTAAGTGGTGCCATGGGATAGGGTTGGTCCGAGACAAATTGGCTTGTTAGTCCAAGGATTGCCCTTTCTATGGAGTGATCTGATTTGTACTAATCTTATTAATAGAAAGCTGTGATATGGATCGTGGGTTTTTCTGGAGGTGTGGATTAAGGGTCCAATCCACTTTAGCTGTCTTCACTCTCCACCTACAAATGGGCTTTGTTTAGTATAAGGGAATGTTTATCATTAACGGCCATTATGAGTAGGGCCTAATGAACATTAAATTTATGGGTATTATTTTAATTTAATTTATTAATTTAATAATTTAATATATAGTTGTCGTGTGATTAATATTGAGGTCTAATTTTTAGTGAGATCTACTAATAATCTAATAAAAACAATGAATTGGGTTAATAAATTAACAAAATAATATACGTTGAATATGCATTCAGTAATTTTTAACGAAATTCTTCTTCCATAAGGAGTGAGAAAGGTGAAGTTATCGGAAAGTCTTGAAATTAGTTAGCAAACTGCTTTTCAAGTTGGGACTAGAAAGGAAAGTGCTTCCAGAACATTAACCAAACAATATCTTTAACTTCTATAGAAATTTGAAGGAAACCTAGGAGAGGACATGACTTAGAATAAGGAGCAATTAAATTCCCTTGCATTTAATTTTTAGGGTGGTTTAGCGGTTAAGTTTAACCTTTTACTATAAATATCTAAATTACATCATTTCTAATAACTTAAACTTTTAAAGTGGTTTAGCGGTTAAAATATAAATACTTAAGTTACATCCTCTTTAATAATTTAAACTTTTAAAGTAAATGATTGTTGAATATGGTATTATAACAAGAGTTCTGCATTCAAATCTCGCCCAACACTTAAGTTACATCGTCACTAACAGTTATGATCGTTTAATAAATATTTAAGCTACATTCTTTCTAACATTTATGTTTGCTTAATAAATACTGAAATTATATCATCTCTAACAACTATGGTTGTTTAACATAAGTAAGAGGTTCTAGGTTTTACACTCCCAATACCCCAGCCCGTCTATCATACATCAGTATAGTAGTTTAAACCGGCTCAGATCTTTGGGGCCAGGTCCAAGTTCAAGAGAGTTAGCTCAAGTCTAGATACTCTGCAACAAAAAAAAAACCCTTGCATCTGAAATCTTAATAATTAGAAGGAACAAATGTCTTGGAGATATTTCACAAACCCTATGCCACGCAAATTGTCAAGAGTCTCCTGGCTTCCCACCAATAAATTTGACCCAAGATGCAATACAAAATCTACCTAGAGCTTTGCCGAAAACACCAAATTTTTCTGCATTCTAGAAAAAGTCATCAACAAACTCAGTAGGTTGTCGAACCAAATGTGAGCAGGCAAGGGCAATCCCACATTGAGTTGGTAAGAAAAAAAAATAGGGTTAATATACCAAGTTTGAAACAAATTACTCTAAACGTGAGTTAAGTTTTTTGGATTGGATTTGAATCTTGTATATAAGCCCATATTCTAAATTTCTAGCACTAGATACTTAAAAACAGCAGCTAGCTAGCCGGACAGATTAAGAACAGTTTTTGTAGTATGGTCATATGCATCTAAAAAGTTGCTGGAATATGTATCTAAAGTTGTTGGAGAAGAAATAAAATAGGCAGTAGCTGGAATATTTCATCTCCTAATCATCAAGCACTATTGCTGGACAAGTACAACTCACAAGCATTCCCTATTTTTCTCTTATACGCCCCGAAACCTTCGATATGTAGTTCTCTAGTTCAATGCTCAATTTTGTTCAACAGAAATTTTTTTTAAAAAAAGAAGAAGGGCCCTCTACTTGTGCTTTGCACTCTGGCTTGTTGTGCCATTTGCATTCTGTAACTCTTCAAAATGCTAGGAGTAACTCTTCAAATGCCTCAAAAGGCTATCATTGATCTTCTACCTCTATGTATAAAGGACATAACAAAAATCTGACAACCCCGCGCTTCCCCAGGGCTCTCCTGCTTATACAACTTCCATTTAGAACAACATTCAGCTATCTTGTGGATGTTAAAAAGCCTTAATAGATTTAAATTCAGTTCTTATGCCACTTCTACTACAGCAACATTATGTCATATGCTGGTGAAGCCGAAAAGCCTCACTATTCCACTTATTCCATTATTAAAAAAAGAGCGATCCAGTGCACGAGGCTTCCAATACGATTTATTTACTCATTATTGCCCAAAAATCTTCCACACACGCATGAGTTAGAGGTAGTGATAGCATGCAGTTTAGTAACTCAATCAAATTGCTGTTACACTGAGAAGTTTGTGCATTGTTTACAACTATTTAGGGAGCAGGACTTGACTGTGAACGCTATAATGTTAGGAGAGAATCAAATGACCTTCACCAGATAAGCAGCTTCCTATTATAAAGAGTTTTTTTCTTTCTTTTTTTTAAATATAGTCAAACTCTGGCCTAACTCGTTCTTCCAAAAGGTTAACAAATCAAGTACCAAAAATCTTTTCAAAAATTTCAGCTGAAGAATTTTTAGGGTTTTTGAGGTATGTAAAAGACAATCAACAAGCACCGGAAAGGGCGTATGATCAACGAAGTTAGGTCTGCTTCCCATGAGGTAACTAAAGTAAGAACAATACCTAATTCCCTCGGGATTGCATTTTTTTCCATAGAAAACATATAAAGTATCTTTTCAGGAACTCTGCATTCTGCAATAACCTGACACATTTTCAGATGTTAAGTTATCAACTATAATACTCCTCTAATAACTAATAAAGCTATTCCTGGTATAAACACAACGAAAACTTTCTTTTACAAACTAAGACCAACAAGATAGTTTTGCACCAAGCAGACATGTATAAATCAAATTCCACTTTTCCACCTTTTTTTTTTTTTTGTGGTTCTAGTGTCCAGGCCAGCTTACTTTGCCCTTTTTTACACAATCAACTCTTGTAAACAAAGAGTCCACACATTACGTGACCCAAATCGCGATCTTGTACTATACACTGTTTATGGGGTTACTCAGTAAATTTGTTTAGGAAAGGATTACTCTGTAAATTTTCACAAATAGCATCAACTTGTGCAATGTTTACTGGACCAACTTCATAGGTTCATAAGGTAAAGCAAAACCAAAATGATTAGCTAGTTTTAATGTCTTGATTAAGTCTAAGATTTAGGTCTTAACTAGCTTGGTCCACTAAAAAGCTGATTTGTTTAGCTCAAAAAAACGAGATTCGTCGGTGTAGTAAACTATTATTCTACTCATATCCAAGGTTACATAGAATCTAGGAAAACACTCGAAAGATAAAATTATAGGGTTTCCAATATAGTAAGTATGAACATTTTTGGGCTCCTACATTTTCTTATGGCAGCAGAGGTACATAACATCAAAGGTTGAGGTAGCAATACAGAATTGGCAGAGTAATCTTCCCCCATGATATACTTTGCTGAGGTGCCATTGCATTATGAACGCTGAATATATCCGAAGGCCACCGATTGAAGATCATTCGGGTCGTCTCAGAAAGTCCATAGCTTGCTGTTTGTTTGTACATCATGGAGAGAGTCCATGGAATGAGAAGCTTCTTCCAAGTTAGAAAATGAGATATTATCTTCTGGGAGGACTGAATTTTCATAGTTTCCCAGATTGATGGACCCGTCTTCACAATATGGCATGTTTCCTATACCACCGGTTAAGTTGGGATCAAATTGGGGCATCATGCTAAAAAATTCTGACTGGAACCAACTTTGAACATCCAGTGGGTAAGAAGGGCATTTTCCAGTGAATCTATCATTAAAGTTTGTACTGTTGGAGCCACTGAGAAGGCTTTGAGCTGCTTGTTCCTTTAGAGAAGCTAGTTGTGCTTGTAGATTAACAACCTGCACAATTGAATTAAAAAATAAAATAAAATAAAGTTGAGACCTAACAGTAAATTAGGGTTTCAATCACCAAATTTTATAAGATGCAAGATAAATGAGTACAAAACCTGCTGTTGGAGAGAGAAGATATGTGAAACACATCCATAAATGGGATCTTGAAGCCTAGCTTGAGCTTCATACGAAATCGTGACAGCAGCTTCACAGCGGTCACTCACCGGGAGGTGAGCTAGGAGCTTCGACACATTGCTGGCACCGAAGACTTTATGGATTGCTGCAAAATGGCTTGCACCTTGTTCATGACAGAAGTAAGGGGCAAAAACACAACCCCTTACACATTTTCTTCTCAAGAACTTGCAGGCACCACAAGGAGAACCAGAGCCTGTCATTCTGATCTTTTGGGGTTTTGGTATGGTACTAGTAATCTTCTCTCTGTTTAGTGCAAGCATCATCACCATGTTTATAAGCACCAAAGGAGGAGGGAGGTGGGTGATATGATATTGAGTAATTAATTACATTGGTTCCCTTATTGGCCTACAGATTTCATTATTTCTTGATTATAAAACATTAAAACTCTTCTCCCCCCCATCCTCCATTTTTTAGTCTCATTTGAGATTCCGTTCAACATCCTTAAAGGACAAAAGAGCTAGCATAAACCAACCCCATTTCTATTTGCTTGATGATTGGATCCTTTTCAGCTCATTTTTAGAATATCTTCAATTTTATATAATAGCTGCAACTACATTTACAAGATGCTAGCGTTGCAATTTAATAGAACATTGAAGAATTTGTTAAGGAATATCTGGATGCATGCTGTGCTGGGCAGTAATGGTGTTTTGACCAGCAGTTTGTATACTTTTCTTCTTAATGTTTAGTTGAAGATGATTAACATTGCTCAATATGCATCATTTGCAGAGTATAGTGAAATTTTTGAAGCTGCAACGGTGAAGGATCATGAGTGTTTGATTGAAGCAAGTACTATAAAAGAGACTAACACCACATTTTGTCACGGTCTCGCAATCAAAAAACTTAAGTTGTTCGTTATGGGATGTGACGATACACTCTGCATTTGCATTTCCTAAGTGCTTGATGTCTAACATAGATTCAATGCAGAGAAATAATAATAAAATGATGTCAATTTCCTAACAAGTTTCATTATTGGCATTGGCTTAGGTTATGCAAGGTCATAAATTGCTACTTTAAACATCTTAATGACCTAAAATAATGTGTATAGGAGTTTTGACCTGTCCTAACGTGTTTTTTATGATAAGTGTAAGTGCAAGACCTTACATTATACAAGTGTTACAATATATTGCACTATTAGTTGTTGATTACATTTAGCTTGAGCTGGCATCCTCCACAACTAAAACAATCCCAACCCTGGAAACGACCTTACGTTATTTCCCTCTACAGCACTTACAAGCATTTACAAGCATTTACTACTTGATCCAGTCTTGACAAAATGTAATGAAATATTACATAGAGATTGTTTTACTGGTTCAATCTGTATCAAGTTCTTTCTTTTGTTATAGTTCATTTTTTTTCCCGTTTTGTAAAATCCTTCACTGTGAACTATTTGTATCAATTTCTTGGTTTGATTAACGATCCATTTTTTTCCCATTTTGTAAAGCTTCCACGGACAACATCAAGAGGGTTCCTTGCATGTCGTCAAGTCTAAAAGCTATCCATATTGACAGACTCCACTCAGTTTGTTAGCATTTTAAGGGATGATGGATTAATTCAAGTACTGGTGTATTATTAGGAAAGCAAGAAAATAGCATCAAAGTACATGGTTTACAAGTGATTGCATGCATGTAGAAAATAACTTTAGTTATAATATATCTATCGTTGGAAGAATCACGCATGGACAGGCACACGTTCCACAAATCACCGAAAAAAGAGAAAAAAATTTGCATGTGGAAGGTAAATCTACACTCTCATTTCTCGACTAAATTAACAGGGCATACTAATTGCCATAGAGCTTCCAAATTTGAGTGAAAATAACTTGGCACCTTATGATTTTTTGAAGTGTGGAAGTTAATATAAGATGACTTTGGTCACACAAATGCAAGTTTTCTTACCACTTGAGCCTGAATGATTTGGTGAGTAATGAAATACCAAAAACTTTTTTATCAACTTGATTTTTACTGTTTCAAAAAAGGCATTGCGGGTTTACAGTTCTGTTTTTTTGAATGACGGGGTTCACATTTGGATTCCATTCAAATAACGCATTCTTATCAGCTGTTCACTATTAGACTAACGATAAATTGCATGAGTTTACATATAATTTTTACCCTAATCCTATAAGGTCCGTTTTCAATTCATTATACATCAACTTATTTGGTTGTGGTTATGGGATCCGTTATACTCTTTTAAGAATAGGTATAGATAATCAAATTAAAATGCAAGATAGAAGACAGTAGTTGAAAAGGAGCATATTCCACAAATGAATGAAACAAAAGATAGTGACACTGGAATAGAACACTCCGATTAGGGGAAGCAGAAGGCACATAGAGAGAGAGAGAGAAGTTTCCTTTGCAGTCCTTGATTTGTTGAAGTCATACAGGTCACAGCTTGTCGAGCAATACTGTATTAGTATCATTAACTAATCTTATATAATCATTAATCACTTTCAATCACTTTCTTCTGTCACACATAAGCACCAACATGTAGACCCTTTCCAAAATGTGCATTTTGGTCCCACATCCAAGCCTAATAATGATACTAATACTCCTTGGAATTGATATGGTTTCAGGTCGTGTTTGTGTTTTTCTTCTTCCCAATAGACTTGCAACTTATTTGTAAGTACTAATTGAAAACTCTTAATCCCAGTCAATAACTCATACCTATTCGCTTTTGTTCCGCTAAGTTGTACTCATGCTCTTTGCCCCACACACTGACAACTTTGAAGTTAGTGAATATGAGCACCAACTATTTCTAACAGTTATTCTCACGGAAGCTTTAAGAAAATTTTATGCTTCATCAACGTTGTCTACGACGCCATGCTTAATAACATGAAATCTGTGAAGTTCTTAATGATGGCTAAAATTATTACAATTCCTTTTATATACACCCAAATTACAACTCCAATCATGGCCTTAACATTAGGCTGGTGACAAGGCTAACCTATGTGTGGCCATTCGACACACAGACGGACGTACCGGCCAACAGTGGTGGTTCATGCATGGCGTCGCTTCCCTGGCAACCATTATCTCTCCCCAATTAACCTGGCTTTCTGTCATGTGTACTTGTTGGCCACTTAAGCTTGAAGGGGAAGAGTGATCTTGGAGACAAGAAGGCATGTTAACTAACGAAATCACTAAAATAATATACTTTTAGACAATAATTTAGGAGAGATTCAATTAATTTTAATAGAGTACACCTTCAAACTTATCTATTTAAGCTTTGTTGAGACTTTAAAACACATCTAGTAAGTAAAAAATTGTCTTCACCAACCTTTTTGATGCATTCCAAAGGTACTTTTACATGGGTTTTGTTTTTTCCTCAACCTACCTGAATACTATTTCGTCGACAAGATAGCATCTCTCTCATCAGTCATTCCTAAAGCTTGCATTTCTGTAAACTTGATACCTATTTTTATGAGCATCATGTTCATATTTGATGACAAGTTTTGCTTGTGATTGGCAGATATGACCCAAAACCAACGACGCTAAACTCATACTCCGCGAGCATATTGGATATGTAAATCGTGTTAATAATTATCAATCCTAATTATATGCATAGGCAAAGGAACGTATTCATGAATCGTATCATCCAAGAAAACAAAGTATACATATATGTCTAGTTCCATCAAATGTTCAAGAAAGAAAGACATGCTAGGTAGGTGATTAATCTCTCAATCATGTACTGAATGATATAAAAATGTACTCCACAACCATTTGCTTGAACTTGAATATAATACTTCAAAGATATGACTACCACCCATGTGAGCTGCTAACTACTACATACATTCTTAATGGTTGCCAAGTTTTTATTTTTATTTTTTTATTTTTTTTGTTGATTTCATCATCAATAAAAACAGGAAAAAAGAAAGACCTCTCTGATCTCCACGATCAGCTGTTGATCTCAAGTGCTACCCATGTTCTATTTCCGTACAGTCACCAACTCATACATGATCATAAACAGACAAAGAGGACTGTCGGGTCTATAATTTTCACTTGGATTTGCTTATGATTCCTTCTGTAGTTGATTTCTGTGGGTAAATTAGAACTGGTTGATAAGTAGAACTGCTGCTTCATGGACGATGTTCACACAACTCACCTTATACAACAAGTATATATTTTTAAAGGGAAAATAAGATTGGAGATTAAATCAAGGACATAATTTAGTACAACTATTAAACTTAATGTTTTAATTTAACAGTTATAGTTGATTAGATCAACGGATTAGGTCGGTCCAAATAACATTTTTTTTTAATTAAATATCATGTTTAATGAAAAGAACTCATAATTGTGGAGATGGGTGGGAAAAATAAAAATGAAAGTATTGATTTTTTTTTTAGGGTTAAAAAAAATCAATTGTTGAACTAAAGAATTCAATCTTTGCCTTTTTTCATCACATATGATTTAAGACTTGTTGACGTGAACAGATATTATTATATAAAAGGAATTTGAGATAATTATTTGGTAAGAAAAATGTTATTCAATTTAAATAAAATTTAATAATTACAATTAAAATACATATTATTTGTTTGATAAGTGTTTGACGAGTGAGTTTTAACGGAAAAATTGATGAGACATATTCATCTAAATATTTGAAGAGCAATATTATTGGGACATAATTTGAGGACATAATGAGTTGTCACAAATGATATAATAATAAATTTATTAATGCTACAATAAAACTCATCATTAAATATATTTTACTATCATCTTATTGGTGACAACTCATTATATCCCCAAATTATGTCATTTAATTATGTCCCAATAGCATTAGTGATATCTGAATTATAATTTTTTAATTTTTTTTAAATTATGTAGTATTCGGTAAATCCGAAAAACTTAGGCACGACCGTCATCTTGGGATTGGTGTGCACGTGCCAATTAGAATAATAATACAGCTATAATGACATTGACACACCGCACGAACGGATTGGTGTTTACCCGATCGGGTCCCATGTGGCCGACGGGTCCACATCACCACCAGCAACGAAAACGTTTACTATTACCCAAACTTCCAACTCCAGACTTACATTAATCTCACTAAACGACAAAGTAAGGGTCTCCATTTTGTTGTTTAAGTAATTTAGATTAATCCTTTGAGGTATTGCTCGAGTTATAATATAAATGAGAAGAAAATTTAGATGTCGATTGAATCTTGGTAAATTTTTGGGATTAGTTTATAAAAGATTTATCTTTTATGAATATTTTAATTTCGATGTAAATAATTTACTTTTAATCAGATAATGGAGATATGTTTAAGCAGTTGTTGACATTCC